CAGCAGTCGTACGTCGACAAGCTCCGCAGGCGTTTAATCGACGAAGAGCAGACCGGGCGCATCCCGAAGACGCCGGTCTCCGTCGACGCCTATGCGGAGCTGACATTCGATGACGAGGATGCTCAAGCGCGCGAGGAGGAAGAGTACAGGCAGAAGGTTGGCTCGCTGCAGTTCGCGGCGACGACGACGAGGCCAGACATCGCGTTCGCGTGCAGCAAGCTGGGAAGCGGCCTGACGATGCGGAGTGATAACCACTGGCGCGAGGTCGACCGCTGCCTGCACTACCTCATTGACACCCGTGACACCGCTTTGGAGTTTGGCGGTGGACCAAAGTCACTGTGCCTAGTCGGCTACGTGGATGCCGACGACGCGAGCGACAAGCAGAATCGGACGAGCACGGGTGGCTATGTTTTTGTCTTCGGAGGGGCCGCAGTTTCCTGGTCAAGCCAGCGCATCAAGTGTGCGACGCTCTCCTCGACCGAGTCGGAGTACGTTGCGGCCACGGAAGCTGGCAAGGAGGCTCGTCGACTTCGCTTCCTCCTTGCAGAGTTCAAGCTGCTAGACCCTGGGACGCCGACTGTCCTTCGTGTGGACAACCAGTCGGCCATCACTGTCGCGGAAGGCTTGGGGCTGAAGGGCAACCTCAAGCACATGGAGCGACGTTATGCTTGGCTGCAGCAGATGGTGAAGCGTGGGAAGATTGCGTTGAAGTACATCCCCACCTCTGAGCAGCCAGCTGACTTCCTGACGAAGGGGCTGCACTTTCCGGCCTTCAACCGGTGCTCCGTCGCGATCGGCCAAGTTCGTCTGGCTGACGTTGGCGATGGTGACGACGATGTGCAGCAGTAGGTGCCGTGCCCTTCTGCACGGCTGGTGCGGTGACCGGCGTGCTGTGTGTTGTGTGCAAGCTGACGAAGGATTTTCCCAGTGTATACTATCCCTTGGGTTCTGGGTGGACCTTGTGCGTGGGGTGCCCAAGCGTGAGCGCGGCAGGGGAGTGTTGAAGGAAATTGGCCCCGCCCTCGCATGGGCAAAACTGACTTCATGGTCGGGTGTGCGGGAGGTGCAGCCGACCTTCTCCAGGTGTTCGAGGGTTGCCTGTACACGAGGTGTACTAGGGAATCCATGCAAGAGTAATTGAATCATCCGCGAGTGCAACCCAGTCTTCCCGTGCGCATGAACAAGTGGCGCAGCTGGTGCAGAATTTCGCGGGTGTTCGTCTGCGCAGGGTCGCGTCTGACCCTGCGCAACCTTGAGACTGCACAGGCGAATTTTGGCCAGAAATTCGAATGTGCCCTAATTTCGACCAATCAGGAGCTGACATTTTGAAATGTCAACTGAGGTGCTCAACGAAGGTGCTCGACGAAGGTCGTCGAGCAGCGACGACGAAGGTCGTCAACCCGCGATGACAAAGGTCGTCAACCAGTGATAACGAAGGTCATCATCCTGCAGAGATGTCAGGGACTTCATCTGGTTGACCAAGTTACCTGCTCGACGAGTGTGCGAAGGTGTGCGAACGTCGTCGAGACTGCTGTGGCGAAGTCGACCGACGTGGCAGCACATGGTCGACATGGCTCATCATGTGCAACCGTCAGCATGTGGCTGACAACCTGCGCAATGTACTTGACAGTACACGTCGTGCATAACTATCTACAAGCACATGCGAAGTAGGTGCTTGCACATGCGCTTACAGTCACCTGCGGATGCAATGTTGGCAAGCCGCGCGGATGCTGCGTTGGCAAGCCGCGCGAATGCAGCGTTGGCAGGCCGCCATTCTGCAGCGTTGGCAATTCGCACACAAGCTGCGTTGGCGGACCGTGGAGATGCTGCGTTGGCAGGTCGACAACTCTGTCACGCTGGCAGTCGACCTGCCTGAGCACTAGCAAACCTTGCATGTGATGTAGTCAATCTTTGCCATTGCTTGTTCTCATTCTGAACTCTGTATTCTCGACTTTTCCTTAGTGAAACTCTTGCTGTTTTGCCCTGTGAAAACACAAGTCCTAAAGAGCACAGACAGAGCTACGATCACTCCTACAACCAGTGCCCACCCTGTAGTCTAGCTCCCACCGTTGTAGAGTTAATCTCCTCATTACGCCACACAAAGTTAGCGTCAGATGCTTTGTCAAATGTAACTTGCATGCGACCGTAAAGCTTCTTGTACAGATAAACCGGCGTCAGCTCCTGGAACGTCGTGGTGACCCGAGCCTCATCCGACAGCTCATCCTTCCAAATCCCCACCAACCCCTTGATCGTTGTCTCCGTGCGAGGTACTTCCGGCAGGAACTCCTCAGGAACCAGAAGGGTGATCGGGTAACAGGAACGTGACGCGATCTCGCCTTTCGATGCCTCCTCCACCTCCTCGTCAGAATCATAGGCAATAAGCCCGCCGTCCTCATCGTTTAGCAGGTGCGTAACCCCCGACGGCCCCGAGCCATCATCAGCATTGTCGTGCGCATCATCATCATCGTCGCCATGAGATCCATCTTCACCTTCAGGAACAGCGTCAGAAACAGCATCCTTAAAGATGGCTTTCTCCTTACCCTTCTTGCCATCATTCGCAGCTTCCTCAATGCGGATGGCTGCGAGCTTCAGATTCTTCAGGCTGAAAGGGACCCTTGGTCGCCTTCATGGCGGTAGCAGACTTGAGTGGAAGCCTCGACATAGACTTCGGCTTGGCCGGAGTTGTTGCTGGCGGAGCATTTGGAGTAGTAGTAACCGCAGGAACTCCGGTACTGATAGTAGCAGCAGCAGCAGCAGCAGTAGCTGCGGTGACAGCAGCAGTAGTAGCTGCGGTGACAGCAGCAGCAGCAGCCTTCTTAACCCGAGCAGCCATCGTGCAATGATGATAAAACAACCACCAAAGCCAGTGTTGTACAGGAGAAATATAAAAGCTGAGCACGAAATGAATGTACTTTGTAGACGAAACCGTGACTGCTTGATGCTTCCTGATGCAAGCCTTGATAATGATTGTAAACCTTGAAAACGCCTCTTTGAAAACACCTCGTATGAAAATCCCGAAACAATGGCTTCTGCTCGTTCTCAGGGAATAGGGACGAATGTTCTCTGTTTGAACATTTAAAAAATATCCACATGTACCCTGAGAGATGACGATCTCAATGGTTATGTTTTTAGCGGGAATATCAAACAATAGGTGGTACATTGGCGAGTTTCAGGGTCTCGGTAAGATCCATGGCTGCCGTGAGGCGGAGAGCAGTAGCAGTAGCATTGTGAGTACCGGTCACGTTGCGTCGTAGCGAGTCGTAGTGAGTCAATAGTATTTATCCACACGTTTTAACATTTCGATTCGATACCACAGATGTGTCTAGTTTTTTATTCGCCGAGTACCTGAATGTCGCCAACATCGCTATGCGAAAAGCAAAAAAGTTTGGGTAACTTCACGCAAACGCAAATACGACAGTAGAATACCTTATTCACAATTCGTGAAAATAACAAACATCGAGTGTACTCGCCTGTCAGACATGCTGTTGTTCGTCGCTCACGCGCTGGCTGTACTGCAATCAATCCGAAGGGAGATATCGGAAGGAAATTTCCAAGAAACTTTCTCTCGATAAGGTCAAGATCAGGGACCACAAATTCGATACCCTATTAAGTCAGGATCCACTAACAGGCAAGTTTGTTACACTATACTCTAAATCAGGGATATGAAAACTATTACTCTGATTTGAACAGGGTTGAGAACTCAGTAATTCTGAAATCTCAGTCTCCGCAAAGTGGAAAGCCTGAAATCACCCTGAAAACAGGGTAATTACCCTGATAAAATCAGCCCTGGTGGGGAGTAATACGGATTGTAGGGCAGACCAGGTGTTGTACCCGCTATAGATCCGTCGGGAAGGTGTATCCTTTAGTTCGCTTCAGTTTGAGGTACTAGTTCATTACATAAGTGGTTTAGCTTGAAGTCAAATTTTAACATGGTTGCATGGCGCATAATCGGTCGGTTTGACGAAATAAAAGTTGCCCGCACGAAAACATTTCGCACTGGTAAAGCAGCAAATGGACAAAATGATAGACCTTCGCTCAATGGAGAGTGGGATGCTCGCATCCTTGTAACCGACCGCACATGACACGTGTCATAACACATCCTGAGGGGGTGCAGTCTCCCCGAAACGCGACCAGTCGGGCGGGTCATTTGAACGGTTCATCCTGGTGCAGAATGGTCAAAACTAGTGAGACAAGTACCGTACCCAAACGTTTTTGACCGTGTGAAACCATGTCAAACAAACCCAGAACACAAGCAAGACCCACCACCCACTCGTCTCCTGCCCCAGGCCAGGAACGCGTTCAGTCACCTTTCTCGCACACACTGATCGCGTTGCAAGCAAGCTAGAGTGCTACGGCAATGTACGTGAACTCGGCGACACTGCCGGGGCGTCACCTGTCTCAATCACACCCAAGCAGTCCTCATCGGTTTCTCCTCATTTCCTCCCTCAACACAGACGAGCAGATGCAACGCTCGACATACTGTCTCTGTCGCGAAATTCTTGGTCTCACTCGCCACAGCAACGCATTCAATCTCGGCACCGCCGGAAAGCCTCCCTCTTGTAGCAACAAGCGAACTACCATTCCGTCACCAGCGCACTCGCCGGCTCCATAAGTTAATCCTATCCCACTGGTTACCAGGGGTGCTCTCAGCACGACGATTACCGTGTGGCACAGTATCGAGAACAGCAATCTGAGATGCGAAGTGGAGCAATCTGGTTACCAGGGGTGCTCTCAGCACGACGCTTTTGAATGGTCCTCTTGTTTTCGGCTACTACTGGACCGGTCCAGCACAGAACGAGGCGACGCTAGGAGCCAGTGGAGCGTGCAAGGCGGGGGCTCGCCACTACTGTCCTCGACGACTGGTCCCCTGCCTTCTGCGCTCGTAGCGCTCTTGCCACTGCCACTGCCCCTGCCACTGCCCCTGCCCCTGCCCCTGTGCCACTGCCATTGCCACTGCCACTGCCGCTGCCACTGCCATTGCATCCGTGACGGCGGCCACG